TCCCTTTATTTTGTAGTTCCAAACCGCAGGCTAAAATCAATTTTTCATTTTCTTCTGTTATTACATGACTTTCCCCACTCAGGATTCAATTATATCTCTTGGTGTTTATTATGCTGATAGTTTTCTTCATGTGATGATACTTAGCTATCAGTTTCCATTTAAGTAGGACATAGGTTGATTACCATAGGTAAATGCCAGGGGGTCCTTTGTTTATTTTCACTGTAGGTCTGTTTGCCTAAATGGGAAGGGTTACCAGGGTATCTGTATGCTTGGGAAGGGCTGGCAAGTCAAGCAGAGATTCTCTGAATTCCAAAAAAAAATTTTAACTTAGACTGCCAACTTTTCATTCTAGGTGTCCTAGTTCTTTGTAAACTCAATTTTTTTTCATGTGAAAGTTTTTTTTTTTGTAATTATTACATTGATGTTTAAAACTTCAAACAGTACAAATAACACTAAATCTTCCTTTGACCAGAGCATCCAATACCAGTCCCTTCCCAGAAGAAACATTTATCAGTTGGGTATCTGTTCAGAACTTTCACTAAGCATTTGCATCCTTCTAGAAATGCATTAAAAATAAATGTTTAAATATACATTAGTGTGTGCCAAAAATTTTACATTTTCAACCAGTAAGTCCTTTAGTCAAATTCGTATCAATATTATCAGCCCATTCTTTTAAATTCCAGCATACAACTCCTAGTCATTACTTTGATAGAAATTTAGGTTGTTTTCAGCATTTTGTATACTAACTATACCCTACAAAGTGGCTATAGTGAGCATTTTAAAAACTTCACTGCCTCTAAAGTAGCTGTGATGAGAAATCCTGGCTCCACACCACTACTAATATCTGGTATTATATTGTCTAAATTTGAATCTCTCCACCTGTGATGCCAGCACTTTGGGAAGCTGAGGGAAAAGGACCACTTGAGCCCAGGAGTTTCAGATCAGCTTCAGCTACAGAGTGAGACCTCATCTCTAGAAAATAAATAAATAATAAATGAACAAATTTGCATCACTTAATACTAATGAGGTTAAGCAGAGACTTAGATTTATTAGACATCTCTATTTCTTCCATAATTTGCCCATTCTTATCCTTGCATATTTATATATATGCTTAGTTGTCCTTTACTTATTGACTTATATGTGTTTTACATGTGTCCGTTATATTACAAATGTGTTTCTTCATTCCTGTTGCTTATCTTTTAACTTTCTTTAAAAGCACACTAATTTTTGTTGTTGTTGAGGCAGAGTTTTGCTCTTGTTACCCAAGCTGCAGTGCAATGGCATGATCTCAGCTCACTGCATTCTCTGCCTCCTGGAATCAAGCCATTTACCTGCCTCAGCCTCCCAAGTGGCTGGGTTTACAGGCATGCACCACCACACCCAGCTAATTTTGTACTTTTAGTAGAGACAGGGTTTCACCAT